GTTGCTTTATGAATTAATTTATTTATGTTATGCTGTTGTTGTTTTGATTTTATAACAACTCCGTCAGGCATATCAAACGACAAGAGGGCTTTCTTCTTTCAGAAAGTAGTTCTAAAAGTGTGGCCGCCATGACTGAGACGACTGAACTGAGACAAGAAAAATACATATATGTCGCATGAGTGAGAAAATGAGTGAAAAAATGGTGTCTTTAAAGGGATAAGCAGTCTATGTCGACATCCTGTACTTTCTGGAAAAAAATAGCAATAGAACATTCGTCATAGCACTGTTCTTGGGACCCATGGAAAATACCGCCTTATAGTGAATCTGCCTTATATTGAAGTACATTACATGTTAATTTTACCTATGAATAATAAAATAAGATCTGTGATGATGCCGACCGTTTAAAAGGAGTCGTGCCATAACGAAATACCTTCTAAATAGTTGGACAGAGATGAACAAATTCTCAAAACTTTTTCACTTGTTGTAAATACTGGAAATGCTCTATCAGGAAGTAAGCACTGAGACTTACAGTTATTGACTAATCCCTATTCTTTGGTATCAATACAGTGCTTGGCAAAAGACAAAAATAGATAGATCGCTAACAAAGATAGATAGATAGATAGATAGATAGATAGATAGATAGATAGATAGATAGATAGATAGATAGATAGATAGATAGATAGATAGATAGATAGATAGATAGATAGATAGATAGATAGATAGATAGATAGATAGATAGATAGATAGATAGATAGATAGATAGATAGATAGATAGATAGATAGATAGATAGATAGATAGATAGATAGATAGATAGATAGATGATGGATGGATGGATGGATGGATGGATGGATGGATGGATGGATGGATGGATGGATGGATGGATGGATGATAGATAGATAGATAGATAGATAGATAGATAGATAGATAGATAGATAGATAGATAGATAGATAGATAGATAGATAGATAGATAGATAGATGGATGGATGATGAACGGACGGACGGATGGATGGATGGATGAACGGACGGACGGATGGATGGATGGATGGATGGACGGATTGACGGATGGACGATAAATTTGATGGATGGATAGATGTACCGGTAAATACTGATTATGGAAGGAGGAAAGAAAAAAGTAAAAGGAAATAAAGAAACAATAAGAAAAAAGAGACGATGAAATGATATATAGTATATGTTAAATGGGATCAAAAATGGATACAATGCACGAATATGATGCAACGAATAAAGCATACAACCAATAAAAAAGAAACTAAACTTTTGAAATGAACTAGAAAGGAAAGAAAGCAGAGCTAAAAAAACTAATAATTTACTAACGAAAGGAATACTGGAAGAGAGATGGAGAGGAATTAACAAATAAGACAGATAATAAGAGCGTGTAACAGTGGATTAAACTAATTGTTGATATGTTTTTAAATAATTATACTGATTTATTGGCATGTCAAAAATGTAACGGAGGCTAATAGCTTTTGTGGTAATAGGGCAACAAGTTATACATTGTAAAAAATAAAACTTCAGTCACATATTTAATCCAGATAGAAGGTTGTTAGCCCTTACTAGTTCATTTTCCTGGCCAAATCCAAGCTACCCTTTGCTAACAGTTTAGATATCAGGACATAGAAGAAAAAAAAAACTTAAAAGTAAACTTACCTTGCAAGTAACGCACGAGAACACACATGAAGGCCCCGAAAATAAATTCGTTCATTAACATTGGTACAAGAGAAAATGGCATGCACAGCATAGAAAGAAGCAAATCGCTTATCGCCAAGTTCAGTAAGTATATATTTGTGACGGTCCTCATCCTCTTGTTGCGCACCAGTGTTAGAATCACCAAAATATTCCCTACAACAGATAACACAAATATGACCGAGTACAGGGGAATACTCGTCTCTGGCCTCATTAGCGTACTGACCTGATGGCGCAGCGGTTGACAACATGTCAAGTTTTCAGTCGGTTTGATTGTCTCATTATACAGTGCGCTTGATTCCACTTTGAAAGTAGAAGTTATGTTTTCCATGAGAAAGTCCTAAGGTGAATTATTTCCGGCTTTGACAAAAAAAGTGTTGAATCCTTTGCTTTTTGAAAGTTGTATGCTTTTCCAGCTTTGAATGTGTCAAACTCACTTGGTGTCAAAACGGAACTGAATGGTAGAGCCAAATTTGTTACAAGTTTGTTGTTTTTTATATTTAAATATCGAAACTTTGTTTTCTTTTCAATACACAGATTTTTGCACTATTTTGTGCTGAAAATAGTTTTTTCTAGAAAATGCAGTTAAAGTAAAATACAAAATATGAATAATCAAAAACTAGTGGAAGTATTGCTACTTTGATTACAATTGAACATAATTTCCGTCAAGAAAACAATAAAAGGTGTCAACAATACATGTTGACACAAACTAGAACCAGCTTTCGATTTTAGACCGAGCGCAAGGTTCTACCTGAGGCAGCAAAACTCAACAAAATTATCACGCATTATTTGAAAACTATTTCAACATTTGCTTATTTGATTCCAGTTTACGTGCAGTTCCATCCGTGAAGGAGTCAATACTCAAAGTGTTAAATACTGTCACGGAAAATAGCTCAAAATTTCCGCCCAAATACTCCTCTAAGGTCGGGCTGAAATCATATTAATGATAATCAAAAGCAGTTTCCCCGATAAATACTGATGCTTCAGATACATCGGCACTATCGGTTTTGTATAGCAGTGCACATGCTGATAGCCTTTGCTCTGATCCGTTACACAGATAAGAGGCAGAACGTATGGTTGTCCGACTGGAGTAGTGTTTAATAGTGTTCGGAGTCAGTGGCTTTTCAACATAAACCCGTCTTACTTGTTTACGTATTATGTTCGTCTTTCACTTTCTCATTGTAATAAGCCATGGAAACAGAAGGTTGGTTATGTATTAGATAAAGAGTTCTGTCTCTCAGCAAACAAGTCTTGCACACATAATGTTGGTACACTTTCGTCATAGCTGGGATGTAATTTAAAATTGCTGAATATGAACTGGTATCAATGAAATACCAACCCAAATACTTGTTTCTTTAAACAGAGGTGGATTTATTCACAAGTAGATTTTTTATAACCATGATCAATAACTTCTTTATTTAGAAAACTAACAGCAGCATGAGAGACTTCACAAAGGCAGATAGGTCAATATCTTAGAAGAAATGGAGGCTGGTCTTCTACCTAACCTATGAACAAGTTTGAAAACATTCGGCTGAGGTAAACATACATACATACATACATACATACATACATACATACATACATACATACATACATACATACATACATACATACATACATACATACATACATACATACATACATACATACACACACACACACACACACACACATACATACATACATACATACATACATACATACATACATACATACATACATACATACATACATACATACATACATACATACATACATACATACATATATACATACAAACATACATACATACATATTTACATACATGCATGCATGCATGCATAGGTACCTAAGCACTTACTTGCGTGCGTGCGTGCGTGCGTGAGTGAGTGCGTGCATTCATGCATGCATGCATACATATATACATATATACATACATACATACATACATACATACATACATACATACATACATACATACATACATACATACATACATACATACATACATACATACATACATACATACATACATACATACATACATACATGCAGACAAATATACTTTCTCAGTTAATTTGTATTGACAAAGGACCTTTTAGATTTATATTGCCTAGTATGTAAAATCTAAACTGTAGCTAAAATGTTGAAAATCAAAGTATTTGAAAATTTTCCAATGATATAGTTGCTTTTGATACGATCCTCGATTTTTGTTTTTATTGTGTTATGTTCAAGGCGAACTAATGTCTGCTCTAGTGGCAGAAGTAATTAGATCGTCCTCCTCAGATGCGTGAAGTTGAGGGTTCAAAACCCAGCCGAGTCATATCAAAAACTTTAACAAATGGTATTATTAGCAGACTTGCTTTGGGGCTCAACATTAGAAGCTTAGGTATAGAACTGGTTGGCCTCGTGTTAGGATATAATGGTTATGTGGGACATCATGCTACATGTCTGAGGAATAAAGCCCCAGTGCTAGACATCACGATAAACTGCTACAGTACAGACATCGTAGGAATATGAATGAATAATTGTTAAGCTATAATTAAAATATGTGAGAAAGCTTGTTTGTACCTTCCCTTGGGTTCGTTCTTTTTGTTTAAAATTTTCCCGGTACTTTCTCCACCAGTTTTATTACACTGAGAAACCCCCAAACAACAACCTCTTCTACTGTGAGATAATGGCTGAACCCGGATTATCAAACATTATTTCACATATTATCATATTTATTTCAGAGCAAAATTACAGATGGAAATTTCCTGGTTTGTCAAGTACAGACATCGTACGTATATGATTAAATAATTGTTAAGCTAAAATTAAAATATGTGAGAAAACTTGTCGGTATTATCAGTTGGTTTTTTTTTTCAATTTTCAATTTTCGACGTTTTTTTTCACAACCAGTTCTGTTACAATGAGAAATAGAATTAAATCCCCAAGGAACAACCTCTTCTACGTGAGATAATGGTTGAACCTAGAGTATAAAAAAATTAGTTGAAATATTATCATATTTATTTCAGAGCAAAAGTACAAAAAGAAATTTCCTGGTTTTTCAAGTTAACAGCGTTTGTTTCTGACTCAAAATGTGTTTGATGATGATGTGATATGGATTTTTAACGTATCTTTAACAAGTTGTCAGTCATGTTTACAGTGTGACAGTTTTTAGTGATGTCTAGCAATGGGTCATCATGCTGCAGACATGTAGCAAAATGCCCCACTCAGTCACATTGTCCTGACACCATGCTGACCAATCCTAACACCAACATCTTAATACTGAGCATCAAGCGAGTCAGCTGTTAGTACCATTTTTGTACGTCTTTGGTATGACTCAGCCGTGGTTCGAACCCACGACCTCTCGCATCAGAAGCGGACGCTCTAACCACTAGCCACCGTAGCGGTCAAATCTCCTCTTCGCAGATATGAATTGATCAAATAGAAAAATACTTTTGAATATCTAGTCAGCTATTTATTTATATTTGCTTTAAAGTACTATACAGGTAGGAACTATGATGGATCCAATTTACAAATGAAAACCTAATAGTCGCCAAATTATAAAAGACTGATAAATATTTCGGAACTAAATTTTTAAAATAAAAAAAAATCAATGTGCTTTATACTGCTTTAAGATCTGCCTGTGCAACCAAGAATATTCGTTGATTTTGGTTTCCATGGAACATGTGTGTTTGGACAAAATTAATTCAGAGAGACAGAAATGAAATTACCAAATATATTGAGTTACTCCTCGCTTGATAGGGTGAAACAAGTTATCTGTTTAGAACTAATTTGTATGGAGGAAGTTCGTGGCAACACGCAAAACATAAAGAGTAATCTAAAGAATAATCGAACATTTGTCTCAACATGGTGATTAGATTTAGAAAATTTATTTAGAGAAACTTACTTTCTATTTCCAATTTTCAGGTTCAACTATTTATCTTATACACTGGTCATTCCCAATCCCCATCCTGGTCAAGACAAAGGAAGGAAAGGACCACTTAACGTATGAAACTTACAAAGTCATGAAACAATTTAAAGAGTTTCCATGTCATATGTTAAGCTCATTATTTAGAAAATGCTTTTTGTGAGTTTCTTTTATTTGAGAGAAGTTTCCAAGTTCAGTATAAACATTATATTTTCCTAACTGTCTACTGATTTTGCATACGGCATTCCCAACGAAATAGTAATCACTAAAATCCTAACAGATTGTCCAACATGGTTTGTTAGATTTGGAGGGAAATCTGAATTATTATTTGCAATATTTCTCAGTGGCATAACGCTTATAACATGGTGGGCAGCCTTTACACCCTTTTATAGCAGCAATTATCACACTGATAGGGTCCATTTGAATGCTGAAAATAGTGATTAAACCCGTCTTTTATATAGCATCAAGGGATGCACTTAATGAGTCCAGTTAATACTGGCAATGTTGACAAAACAAGGCGAAACAAATCTATTCGAAAAATGAAATACTGAATGTACGACTACCGTAGGTGGAATGGTAAGTCAGTTCAATATGTACCAAACATCAAGTGGATTGATACCATAGGTGACTTTGGTGGACATTATACGTTACTTGTTGTCGCGATACATTACCTTTAGTTGTCATCTTCAGCCATTTTAGGCAGTTATTTTCCGTAATTATGCTAGAAAATTATAAACTAATAATTTTTATTTTTTTTTACAAAAAATTAATGTTTCATTTAAAATAGGTATGGATACAATTGTTGTTCTTGACACAACTGATTAAGTTATTTCAATTTATTAGTCAAGCGTTACACGACGTTTCATTTTTAACTTAATACAGAATTGATGTGCAAACTATGCAAAAGCAATACAAATATGAACTTAAAGCTTTGGTTTCGTAAGAGGCAAGACACCTGCACAATGTGAAAAGGGAACATAACTATCTTAAATGTGGTCAAGTATAAGACCAAAACTTTACTATAAAAGTTTTATAATAAGAAAAATAATATTGAACTATGAATGGTTAGATAATTAATCAATTGCTTCTAGTGATAATGATTGTACATTTAAAACATTCTTTAGGATTGATTGCATAATTAATCAAATATTGTAAAATATTACGATTAGATACATAATACATGACTTATAATCACCAAATTGTTCACACAATAAATCAACCATTTAGTCATCAACTTTCTTTAGTTAATAAATAATTGATTTCAATCAATCAAGATTATATACGGATTAATTCATTGACTTATGGTCATTCAGGCCTTTTTACAGGGCAAAATGTTAAAGACTTTGAATCGATGGCATCTTACTGAAAATATTACGAGGTGAAAATAGACGAAGCCCAAACTCAAAGAATGCAAAAAAAATTACAATGTCTTGCATTCTTGCATTGAAGCAAAGGACAAATCATTAGATTCTTTTGACAATGACAATCAACGCTGAATAAAATACAAAATCGAGGAACATTTCAAGAAATCCAAAACATACCATTCTTTAAAGAGCACAATTAAACACGTCGCTACTCGCTCAAATTTGTGTGTCTGTGTGAAAGCCAAGAAACACGTGTTAGCGTGGAAAATGATGAATGCTGATGATAAACAAGATGATATCGAATCGAGTTCAAATCCTCCTAAAAAAATCATTAAAAGACTTTATTTACTGTTTAAACAGAAGCAATCCATTGGTTTGATTGATGCCCAATCGAAACAGCGGACATTGAAAGATTTGAAATTTTATTTCATGTTTTAGTAACGCTTATAATATACTGAATGATAGATACATTTTCTCAGAGTTATATTGATCCTTTTTTATCAAAAGGTCAAGTATCTAGAATAGACATGGCAGGAAAGAGCCTCATTGTGTACTGTCTTCTTGATGTAGTTGTGAATACTGAAAAGATGTCAAAACTTTAGAACGGTATAATGAAATAATTTCGATTATACGTTTTGATCAAATGAAATTGTTGCCATATCGTTTTACTGAATGTGTTAAATTGACTATTGAAATTAAGATAAGACATTTATATTAAGAAAAGCATTAATGGTTGCTATATTCATTGGTAAATGGAAAGACAAGTAGAAAGGTCTTTGAATAATTGATTTGTTTTCGTTTCTTTACTAAAAATAATTGTATAATTCTAACATGAGATTATATAATAAATTATAAACTGTCAACATAATAATGGATGTCTCTTATTGTGGGTCTGTACGTTTATGTTCCTGTGTTCCTGGCAAAGTGTAAGTACATGTATAGATACATGTAACCATAGATAAATCTGATACTAGAAAATAATTTAGCTGTGTTTTCCTAAATGCAATCCAATCTTGTAAAACAAATATATATTTGACAAACGATGACCTTTTCAGCAGACTAATGATCTCTTTTATTGTAATTTCAAGAGTATGTTACAATTACAATGCTAAAACCTGTCCCATCATGTCGAGACACTGTGTCAGAAGGGCAAACAGTCTCCTGTGAGCGCTTAAGTCTACAATTATTGACCATCTGTGCTTACAATGCAAGAAAGTAATGAATTCATGCCTTTAGGCCACTGTGAATTGTTTCAGAGATATCGTACAGACTGTTTGACTTAATTACACGTGGCCAAGCGTTATGAATATTGTCGTACTTTTCACGCTGCAAATGCAACAACAAAACATAATGGTTTTTAAAACTTCTAAAAACTTAATGCATTTTGCTCTGTATAAATTTGTCGTTTTGATATTTCCATCAGACACGCAAAAAGCAGCCACAGAAAAAGGCAAACTTCAGATGGAATAACATATCGTTTGTGGTGAATATCAGAACAGTTACACAGTAACCAATTCTACAATATTATGCAATGATAGGATTGGTTTGTGAATGGAATTGCATATCAATGTTTTTGTAACATACTTTATTTGCATGATATCATTAAAGTTAAGCTATCAAGACGTCAGTCTATAATGCCTATCTGAGAAAAATAAGAAAGTACAGACACCAGCCTGTACCATCATGAGATTGTCGTCTGTTTAATAATTAAAAAGGGAACGGACGTTGTAATTTCTGCCCATGGGCTAAAAGATAATATTGTTTTGTTTTGCAAAAAACACATGGACTTAGATAAATTTACTAATTTGTACGAGACGATATTTACAAACTAATTGTCATCTGGTTTGAATTATTTTATGAATGGACAGTTAAACCTCTGACAACATAGCGTATATAAAAATTCACGCTTCTCTCAATACATAATTTAGTTCTTAAAATAAAAGCAAACTTGAAAGATAGCATAAGGATCGCTAATAATAAGGGAAAATAATGAAGATTATTACTGTCTGAGTTAATAATATTACAGAATAAAATATACTCAAAATTCCTTAATAGAGGCGAATACCTACTGTACATGAGCTGTAAATTGTATAAATTGTACGAGTGATCTGGCTTTTGTGTTGACTCTTGGTTTACATTTGTTTGCCGAACTACTTCGTATATCTGACAAAATAACCGAAGAAAAATGTCTAGCAAAGGGAATACTACCTGACATTAAACAAACTTTATGATAGAAACATTTATAAATGCCAACGACATTTATAATTATCATAACATATCAAGTGTCCCATTAAATCTTGCTAACAATGCTGTTAGCAATTAAATTCATTGGTAATCTGTAATACTCATTTACATCTGTGACCGCATGATAGACGGTGATGAAAAGTGGTGAAATCTCTTAGCACTAAAATGAGATTAGTTTCAGCAATTGGAGAAGAGTTGCTAAATGAAATAATATTGTCATGCATATATATATATATATATATATATATATATATATATATATATATATATATATATATATATATATATATATATATATATATATATAAGATCACGTGAACCTAATAGCGACGTATTTTTAACGTGATTGTTGCTACGATTACATTCGGATCTACAATTTCGCAATATCTGTAATCACTAGCTAGGCAATAGATGCGACATGCTTATATGATGCGTAATGTAGAAGTGTTGTAAACTCAATAACCAGTCTAATTGGAATACGCGTACTTAACACAATTTTATATTTAAGAGGAATTCAAACTCGTGCACTGACATTTCGCGATATTTTGATTTCCTTTGTCACAGAAATACGATTTTGCTCTAGTGTGATTAGACATAAAAACTGCATTTAAGTTACCGCAAAACTGCATTAAAGTCAGTTTGTACCTGCGGAATTTAAAAGTTAAAGTTACCTCACACCTACAAATGTAAAACCGGCATTAAGGTCACTACGCACATGCATAATTTAAAAACTGCATAAAAGCAACCTCACACCTGCAAATGTAAAACTGGCATTAATGTCACTCCGTACCTGCATAATTTAAAAACTACATCAAAGTTACCTCACACCTGCAAAAGCCATTCATTTAATCCATAATACCAATACATTTCCCA